GAATCAGAACTTCACACCCTAAACCCAACATGTGAGAAACTGCCAAACATGATGCAGCTACAGCAAGAGTAAAGGGTGTCAAATGCTCCGCCGACACTGTAGGCCACAATTCCCCTAGCTCATGTGGATGCGCAAAAACGGCCCTGCAAAGATTACTCTTTTCGGAGCGGAGCTATACGGGCTTCCATGTTTGCTTGGGGAAGATAATTCCTCAGCAACAGTATGTGGAAGATGAAGCAGGATATCTACTGGTATTTAGTACAGAATAGGCAACATATAATATGGGGCTTACTTAGGGACTATAGTCCCTCATTCCCTAACCACCAGTTAAGGTACTTCAAGGTTGCTGAGTTTCGAAAATACCATATCCGGCCCCTTCCCTCGATTTGGCGAGTTGCGGCGAGGGAGTAGGGATTAGGCTGAAGTGACTCAGGGTGTCGGACTTAGGTGTAGGTTCGAGGATTAAGGATTCGAGGCTTAGAGCGTCCCAGGAATTGCGAGAACCTAAACCCGAAGCACTGAGCCCCATACCCTAAACCCCTAAACCCTGCGTCATCCAAGGCAAGCCTACCCAAACTCTCTCGTGGACATCGCTGCTGGGGAGCATTTTGTGATTGTCTCTAAGTACGGGAACCCAAAAGGCTTAGGGTCGATGTTAGCTTTAGGGTTTCCAGGTAGGATCCAAGAGACGGTATAACTTATGATATTAGATAGCATGCCGTACACCCTAATTAAGCCCTAAAGCGCCCGTGGAATCAGGTCATTTTGCTCCACAAACTATTGAAACACATCTCTTACCCAAAGTAGGTACTACTCATGAACATCAGGGCCCAAAGTAGGGCTTTAAAGAGGGTCTGTAAAGAAAATCTTCTCGCACCGAAAGCAGGTAATTTCTTAGGTGGACCCCCCACAAAGTAATAGTGACTATAAGGAATAGTAAGGATTATATTAGGGTCCTCGTATATTCCTATTATACCACTATTACAGGGTGGGGGGTCCTCCTAAGTAATTTTTATGGACTTCAGGGCCCAAGGTAGGGTCGGCTTATTGGCTCAGATCCCCACGAGCATATTACGCTGTTTAGGGTCTAGGGTTTAGAGTTAGGGTTTAGGGTTTAGGGTTTAGGGTTAGGGTTTAGGGTTAGGGTTTAGGGGCAAGCATCCAACGACGCCAACTTTACGCGGAAGAAGTCTGAGGAGCTAAGGAAACCCTAAACCCATATGAGCTATGGACTAAATTTAGGTTGGGGGGACCTATAGGAGGAATAGATAGGGTTTTAGGGGGGACCTATGAAGGGATATACTACAAATCTAGTCCAGGGCTCACATGAGCTATAGTCTTATTTCCTCAAAGGGGGTTACATAGGGGATTATATTGGAGAGTGTTGATTATAGGGCTTATTAAGTGGGATATTAGCAGTTTAGACTATGGCTCATAGATCGGCTTCAGATAGTACAAGGTCCTCAAGGTAGTGGCGCTCAAGCAGGGATCAAGGGGGAGATGCCAGGTATATTCGGGAGCACTGGGGCTTTCTGCGTTACCTACCCCCTTTTGAATCTAAACCCTACAGTAAACTCTAAACCCCTAACCCCTTAACCCCTAAACCTTGGGTACTGCCCCCACTCAGTAAAGTAACAGTTGGAGAATAAATATAATATGGCTATATAGCCCTTAATGGGAGCCCTAATATAGACTGTTACTGGGTGGGGGCAGTACCCAACCTAAACCCTAAACCCCTAACCCCTTAAACCCCTAACCCCCTAAACCCCTAAACCCTAAACCGTTTAGGATCTTGTAAAGAGGAGGATGGCTAGGATGCTTACGAGGACACCCCCTCAAACCCCAGAAACTCCTCGAACTCCTCCTTGGCATCCCACGAGCTCCCAAAACCTAACCCCCCTTTAGGGTTTAGGGTTTAGGGGTTAAGGGTTTAGGGTTTAGGGTTTACCTGGACCCCAAAAGTATGTAAGATAATGGCCCTCAGGGCTATTCTTATAGGGGTTTGGGGCTATCATTTTACATACTTTTGGGGTTTAGGTAGGGTTTAGGGGTTAGGTTTCAGGGTTTGGGGTTTAGGGGTTAGGCTTTCGGCTTTGGGGCTTAGGTGTTAGGGGTTAGGGTTTAGGGTCTAGCAGATGATGGACAGCCAATAATGCCGGGGCCGGATCATCCCCACCCATCTGACATGACACCCCCAGGAAGCCCTCTGCGAGAAGAACAAAATTCAAAGGGCTCAAGAGGTGGGATGAAGGAAGATGAGATATAGGAAATAAGCCCCAATATAATATAGTAGAGTATATACTAAGGATCCTTGAAACCACCTACCTTCATCCCACCTTTTGAGGCCCCTGAAAAATTCTAATGGACCAACGGCTTTGCTTCAAAAGGCGCGACCTAACCCTAAATGCGGCTTCGAGGGACAGCTACAATATTAGTTCTACCCAACTCGTCCAATGTAGCTTCTTCTTCTTCTGCAACAGTTGGATAATAGTATAATCTAGTAAATAAATATATATATGTATACACATATAGCCCTCAATATGAGCCCTACCATAAGCTGTTGCAGGGCGGGGGCACTACCCAAAGTATATCTTCCCTCACCGAGGAGCCGTAGAACATCTACTCAGGCACTTGAGCGTCGGTAGACCCTACAACTTCTGCAAGAGACCCAGAACCCTAAACCCTAAACCCTAAATTCCCTTCCCAGCTCTGTAGACTGTTTGGGCTGTCCGTCTGATCTCGGGTCTAGGATAATTAGGGGTTACCTGGACCCCAAAATTAGGTAAAAGAATGGCCCTTAGGGCTATTCTTAGGGGTTTAGGGCTATCATTCTACATACGTTTGGGGTTCAGGGGTTAGGGGTTCGGGTTTAGGGGTTAGGGTTTTGGGATCAGAGCCGAGGGCCTAGCCCTGTTTGTGGGTGTTTGAGCTCCATAGAAGGTTCCGGGGTCTAGCCAGGTCCCTAATATCTATGCTACCCTAGCCCCTAAACCCTCACCCCCTCTCCTTGATTGCTAAGAACATGCGCAGGCTCCCCTTGTGAACTGTACGAAACAGGCTGCTCAGAATTTCATTGCGTTTAGGGCTGAGGGTTTAGGGTCAGGAGTGTCCCACAATTTGAGATCATTTTGGGGCTAATTCCATGGTACTGCGTGCACCCAGACCCCGGATGTGCAGGGATTTAGGGGTTGGGATTTAGGGCCCTAAATCCCTACATGACCCCAAATCCTTAGACCCTAGATCCCTAAACCCTAAACCCAGGCTACAAAAGGGCGAGCAGTCGAGGAGGACGTAGCCGCAGGCAGGGAGACCCGAACAAGCCTTCAAGCAGCGCTGAAAGGCCTGCAGCTGGGAGCAGCCACGCCTGTGGCACGTTGCGGCCAATGGAAAATAATATGGGAAAAGAAAATGGAAACCCTAGGTCCGTTAAAGGGATATTTTGGGCAATATTGGGGTTGTATTAGGAAGCTGGGGAGAGCACGCTGCGAAGGTGCTGGCACAGCTGATGTCCGGAAAGCGTTTTCAGACAGCCGCAACTGCAATTGTGAGCTGCACGACTGAGAAGCAAGCTTCAAAAGGCGCAGGTACAGCAGCCTTTCCTTCGGTACCTTGTTTACCGCGACATCCAGCAATACTTCCCCCAATTGCCGGACTGGTTCTACGTCGGTAACGAAGCGCAGCATGTGCTGAAGGAAGCCACGGCAGTCTGCAAGCCCAAAACTAGCCACAAGCAGAGGCTGCAGCACCTGAAAGCGCATCTGCGCAAGACCCTGCCAAACAAGCCGGTGGCGTTCGTGTCGCGGTGTGGATGGCAGCACCACCACAAAGAACATGCATGTTGCGAACCACGTACTTGGCCTAAATCCTCCAGCCCTAAACCCCCGAAGTATGTAAAATAATAGCCCCAAACCCCTAAGAATAGTCCGAAGGGCCATTATTTTACATAATTTTGGGGTCCAGGTAAACCCTAGGTAATATTTACAGACTATAGGGCCCAATGTAGGTAGTATTTGTATACTTGGATCCCTAAGGTAAACCCTAAAGCGCAAGAAGGCCTCTGGTCCTTGGATGCCCAAGGTCCTGTACGCAAGGTTCTTCGTGGAGACGTCGCTCGGCAAGACTTGCACATCTCCCAACGCCTGCCTTGCACTTAAGGGTTCAGGGCTTAGGGTTTAAGATTTAAGGGCTGGTTGTTTATGGTTTAGGGTTTAGACATTCCAGAGCGGTTCCCAAATCAAAAGCCCTCAAAACTTGCGCGCCTGATCTCTGTAGAGCCCTTATCCTGTCATCATGACTCCCAACCCTTAAGCCTCGAGTCCCAAACCCTAAAAGTTACACTAAGCCTTGAGCCGTGAACCTTCATGAATCACTCGGCCGTTCATACAGGGCCCTCAACATTTACAGGCTTAATCTCCACTTCAACGAGGGCATGCCGATCAGTGACCTCGCCTTAGACAATCTGGTGGATGATGAAAACAGCACCCTGGCTAGCAGGGGTTAAGGATTTAGGGTTAGGGGCTTAGGGTTTAGGGTTTAGGGTTTAGGGTTTAGGGTAGGGGCTTAGGCCTGCGGGTTTAGAATTGAAGGTTGAGGATTTCGGGTTTAGGGCTTTGGCCTCTTGTTTTAAGCGTAAGAGTTTTTTCTAGAGCTTGGGGTCAAGGCTTTGGGGTTGTTTGGCAAAGAGATGGCATGCTACAAGGTCAGGCTCCCTTTCCCTTCTTGGGTTACAGCAGCGTCAAGGTGCGGAGTTTAAGTTATGTAGGGCCCTGAAAATCGCCTTAGGCTAGTTACTGTTGTCCTACGAGGGGTCTTCTTAGGCGCTTCATGTTCTTATCCGCTACGGCACTCTATCCTTAATCCTAGCTGCGCCGCCGAAAGCCTACATCCTGAACCCTCAATGTTAAACCACGAGACAAGTAAGAGACAAGAACCACACAGCGCACGACCAACTAACGCAAACTAACCCCAACCCTGAAGAACCCTGAGGGCAGGACCTGGTCCTGTTGAGCTTTTTGCTGCTTGAGCACTCTTGTGCCTTCGGTTGTACTCGCCTGACGGCACAGCAGTTCAGGGATTTACACTGGTTCTACTCTCCCGTTCTTTACGGGGAAACGTAAAAAGGAAGCTTGAGAGCGTTCTTCAAAATCTCCCACCACTTGTCAGCACACAAAGGCTTAGTCAAGATATCCGCAAGTTGAGTGGTGGTGGGTATCCAATGGAGAGGAATTTCCCCATTACGACGCTCCCAGCTCAGACTCTGTCTCAGAGCCGCGAGATCTATAGCCAAGCGCCTATCGCTCGGCACACGCGGGATGCCTTCCTTCAAAAGGTGCTCGGACAGGGACTTACAGTCCGACAGGCACCGCAGATGCTGACCTTGAAGGTCTTCAACCTTCAGGAGCTTGCCTTGCAGTAAAGAACAGAAGAAGGAACGAACATACTGCCCGGTTTCTACTCCCTCAGTACAGGCCATCGTCTCAGCAGCGAAGGTCGAGCGGCAAACCCGTTTCACTGAAGAAGAGCGCCACTCAAGGACGCTGGCGTGTCCTTCCTCCCCAAAGGTGCACTTCCTGTCAGCCAGCGCGATCAGCACTCCAAACTGGCTCGCCACCTTCGAAGCCGCACGCTTTGCCTTGCGCTCCTTGTTGCGGAAGGGGTCGTTCTCGATCAAGCCATCGAGCTCGTCCTCGTCGTAAAGCGCAAAACCATCACCCTGGTCTTGACAAGGCCGGGTATTGGCCTATGCGGCGTCGTGGTAGGCCAAGATTTCGAAGTCCTCGAGGTCGATGGGTTTGAGTCTCAGGCACTCGCTGCGGTGTGTCTGGGCCTTCTTCACCAGGGAGTTGGTGAACTTCAGGTCCTCAACCAACGGCTGGCGCTGAAGCTGCTGGGCCATCGATACCCCTGCTTGGAGGTCAGGTCGAGTCTGGGAAGCCAACCAAGAAAGCGCCCCAATTGCGCTCATGTTGTCGATGGTCTGCTCCCGCGTGGCCGGGTCGAGGTCGTGCTGGTCCTTGTGGATGTCCACGGTGAACAATCTTCCGGAGGCGTAGAGCTCCTGATCAATGGTCACCTCGTCGGCACTGATCGCCATCTGGACCAGGTACTCGAAGAGGTTGTCAAGCCACTCATCCACGGGAAGAACGGCACTCAGGGCATCCTTAAGGGCAGACCTTGGTCCAGCCGCCAGGAGGTCGACTCCACATCTCCAGCGCTGGCTATCCAGGGGTCATCTCCTCCTTGTCTGCTGGCGACAACCTGCAGGATGGAAAGCACAGCCAAGTGGCTGATATAGTAGGTGCGTCTGTAGCCAGGTAGGGGGCATCGGGGTCGCGATGCCCCCCCACCACTAATCGCGCCTTAGCGCGCCACGGTATGGCCGCATCCACCTTTCTCCTCGCGTAATTTTTATCTTTATACGCGAAGCGAGATGTCAAAATCCGATCTCCAGGGATTGAAGCTCGAATCTTGTCGCTCTCAGCCAGTGTCAGAGGAGTGAGGGCGGAGTGGTCGTAGTGGTCCTGAACCTGCTTTTGCTCGGCCCGCTTGAACTCTCCATGAAGTTCCGGAGGTATGCAATGCCAAGGCAACTCCTTCTCTCGCTGCTTTTCGCGAGACCTCTCAGTAAGGCATCTCTTGAGCATCATGGCGGTCTGCAGGTGCTCTCCGGGCCCTTTTCGGCGAACACGCTTAGGAACAGGAGGAGGTGGGAGGTCTACTCGATCAGCTTCCCGTTGATGCCCACGCTCTTTGCCCTCGTCCGCTTCAGGCGCCTCGGGCTCGAGGTCGGTGAAGTCGAACTCGTACTCCATGTCCTCCTCGTTGCCGTCCTCGTCCTCGTCGCCATTGGTGTAGGCCTCCGGGTCGTCTGGTTCCATGCCGAGGAGCTTCTCCAGGTCGGCGCGGGCGATCCTGTTGTTGAAAGAGTCATTGATTTCCTCACTCGAAGCGCTTCTCAAATGCTCAGGAGCAACCAAGTGACATCTCCCGCCAAAACTGACCCAGAAATTTCCACCTTCTTCGCCCAAGACAACTCCTGGGCCTCTCCAGCGGCCATTCTTGGTCCCTCGCTTCTCGATCCTATGACAAAGCCGCCGCGGTGAACTCGGGCACGCCGGATCAAGGCGCGCCTGAACTTGCTATCCTGGCGCGTCTGGAAAAACGCCACTCGGGCGGCGGTGCGCAGCGCGACCTCACGCTGTCTTTGTCGGTCGCTGGAAAGGATTTCCATGAAGAGCTCGTCGTCGTGGCCCCCTTCCAACTCTTCTGGATACCTTGGCTCGCGTCCGAACACCGCCATCGAAGGACTGAAGCCATGTTTGCGTCGTAACTCATTTTTTGCAGCACATGTGGAGACCACGGCCAAATCTATGTCGGCTTCTGTCACCGACTGCTCATCCACAACTTTCTGCAACATCTCTTGATACCAGCGCCCGTGTCTCTCCACGTTCCCCACTTGCCAGTGGGCTTGCCCCGCAGCAGCTCTGAGCTTGGAGCCGCAGAACTCAGCATACCGGCTCAGTCCGGCTTGCAATCCTGTCTCGAGGTCTGCAAAGATAGTTTTGGGAGGGCCGAAAACACGTCCCCAAAGGTCCACAAAGCCGGCCTCGAAGTCTGCGCTGCTGTGTCCCTGGATTCGCTTCACCAAGTGGAAAGTGGTGGAGTGGTCTATGACTGACAGAAGTTCGTGGCGTACACGCTGACTGTCAAACACATGCACCACATCCAGGCTGACCATCTGATTGAAATCCAGCAAGGACGGCAGAGTAGCAGGCTTTGGTGCAGCCGGTCTTTTGCATCTAGCACAAGTCTGACATTTCAGGGACTTCGATGCTTTGAGGACGGCCTGGTCAGCTCCAGCATATCTGAGGTGCCGGGTGAGGTCGCGGTTCTCGGGGTGGCCTAAATTTTGGTGAAGCCGGGCTAGTGCAGCACCAACATGTTGAGGAACTTCTGGATCAAAGCTAATGGCACTAGCTCCGCGAGGATCAGAAGCAGGAGCGGCAGCTTCTGGAGGAACAACGTCTTGCACAAACGCTTCTTGGTCGACTGCGCTACGCTGACCCTCCTCTGCCGGTCTCAAAGTGATCTCGCTCCCTGTCTGGCCCTGCTCAAAAGTCACGCGATAGCTTGAAAACTCCTCCTTGAAAGCATTGGCATCCCAGCTTACATCTTGTAGGTCACCATCTAGAACTGCAACGCCACCCCTGCTTAACTGCTGGTGCAACACGCTCCTGGCCTTGTCGATGAAGTTGAAGTCGGCGTCCGTGGTGTGCAGCCACAGAACCTGAGGTGCGAGGGAGTTGGTGAGGTTTGTCGCAAGCTCTACACCGCCCTCCTCAAAGAACCGAGCATGTTCAATAGGTTCGACTACATCTCGACCCCAATCAGCCACCCTGCTAGTCATGGACATCCCACCGATCTCGAGGATTGCCGGGCCATCTTCCAAGGGCTTACTGAAAAACTCTCCGAAATATGAGGAAGCCGTACTCATTGACAACGTCAACATGGCGCTAGCTTGCAAAGCTTGCTTCCAAAGCTTCTTGCGGATGCTCTTTTTGGGGCGAACAGTCGCCTCACGGTCTGCGGGGGCAATGTCCATACGCCCCTTCAGCTCTGGCCTCCCCACTGGAAAACCAAATGACCTCAAAAGGTCCCTCTTATCTCGGCTTAGGGCGTCACGTCCTCTAGGCGTGTAGGCGGTGATGGCGAAACGGTCTCCGGACCAGTCCTCGACAAAGTGGCGAAGGTGCCCGGGAAACAAGGTAGGGGTATGCAAAGCACTATACCAACCACCATTGACCAAATCACCATTGGGGAGCTCAAGGACATAGGGATCTTTAGGGGCAGCAGCTTGACCATGTAGCACGGGTTGCGGGCCATCCTCAACCCACAACCGGCCACCTTGGAAATCTCCAAAGGACATAGTGCAGTTGTCAGCCAGCTCCTCGGCGAGGATTTCACCGAAGGCCACGGGGACAAGGCGAAGCCGAGAGCCGGATGCAGCGGCAGCGGGCAAGATGGAGCAGGACTTGCCCGAGGAGGTGGTGACGGAGATCCAAGCGCTTCAGGCGAGGCTCGCGGGGCTCATGGACAGGTACAATGTGGGCAGCGGGCCGAAGACGGAGAAGAAGTGACTGCTGGAGACATCTTCTATGACTGCTTTGAGGGTGATGGTGAGGAGACATTGGGGATGGCACAAATCGAGGCTCGGGCCAGGGAGCTGCGAAAGGCCAAAAACTTCTCACTCGGCATGTGTGAAGATCTGCTGCGCCAGTTCTGTCCTCTTGGAGCCGGAAAGTCATGTCGCCATGCCCATCTCAAGGAGGATGCGAGGGTGACTGCGGGCGCCTACGCCCATGGAGGCTTCTACGGCGTGGTTGGCATAACGTATAAGTACCCCGAAACTATAAGGTACCTCAATGCCTTCCTCAAGAGCTATGGGTTCAAGGGCAGCTGGACTGCGCTCTCCATTGGATGGAATGGTGCTGCTTCTCTTCATCGTGACCCCCACAATGCTCGAGATCGCAACCTTGGAGGAGTCACCGGCATCTGCTCTGGAATCAGCCACGATGTCGTAGTCCCGGACGGGCTCGCTTTGAGGGGATGTACCCAGAGATTCCAAAAGCCCT